GTCCTAAAGGGTTAAAATCCACCAATGCTATTTAAGCCAAAACACCAGAAGTTCAGATTTATAAAGTACAATTTTTCTTTGGCCTCTCTTTACTTTCTCTTCATATCCCATAACTCAACACTCAAAAGCCAAATAATGGTTGTCAAGGCTTCTATCATTATTTGAAAGCTAAAATTCAGAATCTGAGTTTTGGAATGAAGATTGATTGATCAATTCTTAAAAATTAAATATTTTGATAACATTTTAGTTTTCACTGAGAGATTCAAACTTGTGCCCTACTATATAGACTACTGGATAGGAAATTTCTAGTTCATTTGTTGCTGAGATGAATAATGCTTTCCTGAAATTCACAATTTTAAATAATGGATACAGGAAAAGTGACTAAACCACCCATATCATAGAATTCAAAGTAGAACAGTACAAATGTATCCCGTTCAATGTAATATGCAACTATATTCATGATTTCAATGAAAAATCAAATCTACAACTTTAGTGTAAGATCCATGGTGGTCAGGATGTCTTAAATCATACTAAACGTTTTGAGAGTTAATTGTTTTAACCTCAGGGATTACTTGTTGTCCAGTGAACACTTGTTGCCTTTAGAGAAGCAGTTATTTTTTGCTTTCACAGAATACGAACTGGATCAAAGGCGCTCCAACAACTAGAAGTCGGGACGAGAACCAATAAGGGGGACGGAGAACCAAGTGTCTCAGCTTCAACCAGCTGTTCATTAACCTTAGCAGAATTTTGAAGTTCTATTAAAGCCTCTGGATCAAGTGAAAGCAAACTATTTTGTTACAACTATGTTTGAATTGTTACCTCAGTGCCTTGCCCCACTGTATAAATACGCAAGAAATCCTGGCTCAATAGGCAAGCATACACTAGCATACTTTAATCTAAGCAAGTATAAACGTGTTTTGATGGTGTGATGAGAAATTATGTTGAGAAAACACTACTATTGGTAGATTCCCATTGGTAGATTCCATTTCTTAAAAGTTATTCCTATCTATTTAGAAGCCTCTCATACTCAGGTTTACACATGGATTAGGCTGACCTCTTTACAACATACACCTTGGACTGGTGATCTACAAGAGCTGACAAATTATTCTGCCCAACAGACAGCAACAGAAATTTACTTAAGGAACCACTGCAAAAAAAACCTTGCGTTCTTTTGGTCGTAGAATGATAACTACTGTTTGAAGCACAACATTGAACTTGTCCCTACTAGGTAATCTCTAAAATATGTGGACTTCCAAAATTCTCAGCAGCTAAAGTCTTTAAAAAAATAAAACTTCCAGTGATGAAGATGGGAATGGGAACATCTGTAACCCTTAAAATTAGGACACCTTTCCTAGCAAACAAGTGTCGTGCCTACAGATTAAACCCAATTTTAACTAGCAACATTCCTTTTCCTGTCCTGCATGGCATTTTTTTTGTATAGCACAAATGTATCCATGCCTATTCAGAAATAGTGACTTTCTCTCAGCTAGAGGCCTATCAGCTATAGTTTCAATGTAATCCAGCAATCCACTCTGCTTCCATTTTCCACTACTAAAGCCACCCAACTCCTGCAGGCTTGACTCAGAGGCATGTAAATGAACCCGTCTCAAAATGTCCCATCATAATCAATCATAAGTAAACAGTTACCCTCTGTTAATGTGCTACAGCCCCTCCTTTTTTGGCCTTATTACTGCATTACAACACAATGTTGTACTGCTGTCCAAACACGTTCATCAGAAGAGCTGATCAGCTTTTCAACAACTCCTGATCTGAAGTCATGCTGGAAAACATTACCATTTGTATAATCTTATGTCCAGGGAAATGAATTCTAAACAAGCTACGCTGACAAACAGGCCTCAGGTATCTGCATTTGTTTCTCCCAACCTGTTGTGCTAAAGCAAAGGCAGTCATATAATACAGACAACTGGCTAAAGAAATTGTTGACCCCTAGAAACATCACCAAAACATTGCTTCACATTTCTATGGATCATCTATGAGCAAAGAAGAAAGCAAATGGGCACAAAGACTCATTTAAAGACAACCATGAATACTGTGTGGATTGAGGTTTGGTAGCAAAGAACTAATTTAATACAGTCCCCTGACTTGTAAGGGAATCAGGTTATCGAATCCAGCCTTTCTTGACTTGGTGCTTTTTGGGAGGACTGGAGGATAGCTTACTGTAAGATGCACCGTCCACCTAAGAGGCACCACATTGGGAAGGTTTTTCTCAATGCTTGCTAATCCAAACCAATTGAATCATTTGCAAGCAAGACTGCCTTTCTGCCACCTCTTGGAAACCACTTTGCTCTCTTCGGTCAGAACTACTCCAGTGTTTCATACAAAGCCCTTCCTTCAGTTTCTATCCATCCGCCTCTTCACTTCCTAACTCGTGGAGGTTTTTTTTTCTCCTCTCTGTCAGAACTTCTCCCCCTCAATCTTCCCCAAAGTCAACATGCCTAATTCTTTCAGCTTTCAAGAACTTTCAGATACATTTTGCTTCCTGCCCTGTCCACTCAACTGACAAAGTCATCAACTCTCACCATTAAAATATCAGCAGCATAAACCAAAAACAAGCTGGAGTAAGTAGCCTTAACCTCACTCTTGAAAGGCAACCTGTCAAAACATAAATTCTCCAGAGGTCTGTGGTTGCTACATAAAGCATCACCTCCCTTTCCAAGCAGAGAAAAGGAGCATTGCTGCAGTTTGCAGTGGGTGGATATTGTAGGGGGCAAAAAGGCTGTGTGTGTGTGTGTGTGTGTGTGTGTGTGTGTTTCCTTCAGGAGCAGGATTCCTTCCAGAAACTGGACTACTTAAAAAGAAGGTAGTGATGCAATGGATTCAGTTTCATTCTCACCAAACGCAGAAGATCAAAAGCAAAGGAGGCATTAGAAGAAGCTTAGATGTTGAATAAAAAGTAGGCTCTAGCAAGTACCACCTTGCACTAACTATTAGCTCTCTTTGCTACTAATTAGAAAACACAGCCAATAGAGACAAGGCTCTCTGCCCCCCCATTGCTGGATGTGAACTACTAAAGCACAACATAATTTTAGAGTTTATATACCATCCTGACACATAATTTGGAAATGGGGTTTCAATGCTTAGAAACTTCAGCTGTTACAGTAATCTCAGATTCAATCTTTTTATTCTTTGAAGAGACTCTCAAATTTTACGCAGGACACCCCCAGGGGAAAAAAAGACAGCTTCATTTGAAATGTGCTTATGGAAGAAAATAATACATACGAACCAATAGAGGGTTTTTTTTTTATGTTACACAGAGCATGCAGTTCCCTTTCGCATGTGATGGGAAAGGCCATCTTGGGGCTTCCTAGATATTTTTAGGCTACAGGTCGCATCATACTTGGACACCACCTATATGGAACAGGGCTTCTGGAACCGTAATACAGATATCCAGGGAGGATATCTTGTCCCTACCTTTGGTGTGGGAAGACCTTGAAGCCTGCACACAGGTCATTACAGAATAACACACTCCTCTTCTCTCACATGCATGTGGCTGCACATATATCCATGCACCTGAATTGTTACTGTAATGCACATAAAGACTTTATCCTGGTTTTTGTCTTTTTATCAAAACCCATCTCAGATGTGGAAAAATCTTTAAGTAAAAAGGACAAAACTCATTTTCGCCACAGTCCCTGCACAAACCCTCACTTGACTTTACAGATTTCCTTACAGCTTGCCTAGGTGGCGATATACAAAAGACCAATTGGTCTTCCCACACCAAAGGTAGGCACAAGATATATCCTCATGAGGATTTGCTCTTAAAATGAATGCCCATGTTACAGAAGCAAAATTGAAAAGAAAAAGGGAGGAGGAGGAGGAGGAGATGGTGACAGTGATGATAACAAGGGCAAGAGACATGAAGAGCCTGAATCGATGTGAGAATATTTATTGATGGCACAAAGTGAGCTGAGTATTTTCCTGTAAGTGCATGAAGCTGTGATGCTCGATGAAGTCGTTTCTGGCTTTTCTGCCCTAATCACCCTCCAGTGGAGCAGGCAAAACTTTTCAGTGAAACTCCAACATTGCATCAAATAAATATTAACGTGTATAAACAAACATCTTTTCCCTAAACCTGTAAAAGAACCATTTAAAATATTGCCTTGCCCCTAAGAACAGGGTCAGGGTCACCCATGAGTGCCTAAAAAAAAATCTTTCTCCACTTCTTAACTGCTTTATTAGCAGATGGGGCTTTTGCAAATGCTGACATGAAGCAATATAAAACAAAGTGATTTAAAAACAATTGGTTTCCATTTGTTACAGTGGAAGCCCTGAATTCTCAACAATGAACAAACCCTTTGTGTGGAACCAAATAGCTACCTGAAACCACAACTTTTAATGCTGCTGCTGAAGCTGAAATAGGGCTTGGACTATTTTGTAACCCCGATGCATCTCACATTTACAATCCCAGCTCTCTCACCGCTAAGTCCTTGGTGATCTTGCGATAAAATCCAAAGCCAGAAAAAGCACCTCGGGAATAGTCAAGTTCAAGGAAATAAGGAACCTCAAGGCCCATTGTTTTCTTGGGTAGCCCAGATTCCCCTGGAATACAACAGACTGGTTATCATCCCAAAAGATTCCTAGCCAATTGGGTTTGAGATGTATAAACACTGCTTTCTGATTAAAACAGCTCAGGTTCAAGCAGAAACCTGTAAATTTTCTGGAATACCCATTTTTGCATCATACATACATTCCGATCCAAGGAGAGGATTTCAGAAACATAACTTGGGCAAAAGTTAAAAACAACACAGCCAGCAGCACCAGTGAGAATTCAACCTGATAATACAAGATATTTCTGAGATGATGACAGGGAGGCAATTCATAAGACATAAACACTCAGTATTGTTTGTAGGCTAGGAAAAGGCCTGGCACCAGTTAGTTTCCATCGTGTTTTATCTTTTCATCTAGAGGTAGTATCATTTTTTTTTTCTGTCCAGTATCTAAAACAGTGCAAATCCAGTTTCGTGATTTTTCAGTTATAATCCCTAGCCTCCCCACAGAGAAAAGGGCATGGAAAATGGATCGATGGAAATTATGAGTCACAAAATATACTAAGCTCATATAAACACGCCCTGTGTATCCACACAAGTTTTTTTCCCCTATTTATATATATATATAATATATATATGTGTGTGTGTCTGTGTGTTTGTGTTTTGCATGTCCCGTGTATTGAGAGAGTTATATATATGTATATATTTATAAGTTCATATACACTGGCAAATAGAGATACTTGAATCTAAAGGCATCTATCTGCCCACCTCCCTTCCCTTCCCTTCCCAATCTTCAATTCTTTATTTCCAGGATGGACGGGTTGTGGTCTAGGATGGCCAGGATGATCTTGTCCATATATTGGCGCAATCTGTAGTTGATCTCCTCCTGTTCTTTGAGGGCTTCCATGAGCTGAAATGAAAAAAGAACTAGATTAAGACATCCTCTGGAGTCACAACAATAACCGAGATCCTCTGTGTCCATTTTGCTAGAGTGCTCCCAAACTTCAAAACTTGTTTTCAGCATATTTTCCTTTCCGGATTATTTTAATGGTGATTCATTTGGATGGATGGAAGAAGGGTGGCTATTTGTTCACCCTCGTTTCTACAAATTGTTGAAGCCCTCATGAATTCAACGCTACGTTTTCGATCAGAAGCATCACCTCATCCTTGTGCCTCCGTTAATTTATGCTCTTTTGTGCAGAAACTCATCGGACGCCACTGAGAATCAATTTATCCTTTGGTACGAATCTCAGTCCTTGAGCATGCAAGATGGATACAAACTCAGTCATCTGTCTTCTCACAGGGGGAAAAAAAAACACCCTAATGTGCTCTAAATCTTTTGGACAACTCGTAGAATTTTGCCACGGGTCATTGCCTTTGAGCTATTAGGGGTTGGTGCATACATTTATTAAGGTGGAAGCTGTGGCTAGGAGGGCCTTTGCTCACTTTGTGACAGTTGTACCCATACCTAGATCTGCAGATCCTGCTTGTAGTCATGCTTGCCCTAGCCAATTCCAGATTGAACTACTGCGATATGCTCCCCGTGGGGTTGTCTTTAAAGAGTGCCCAGCTTCAGTTGGTGCAGAATGCAGGGGTGCAGCAGTTATATGCGCCCCCAGAGTAGCACATATGACACCTCGGCTCCACAGCATGCATTGGTTACCATGAGCTTATCAACGTGCTCAACATGGGCTCTGCTCCTCTCCAAGAGTTAAAATGCCAAGGATCGTTCACTTCTTTTAAAATGAGAAACTTCTTTTAAGATGAGAAATTTGATAACATTACTTTCCATACCACACCCAGAGTAGCTTTGGCAAACACAATTTATGCTTTATAAATACACAGTTGCCCAGCTACATCTTCAAACTACAGTATTTGATAACAAATCTCACAATCTTTGCTCAAGATTTACTTACATAACAAAGTCTGAACCAGGTTTTTTTTTTAAATAAAGGCATCGGGAATAACTTTCTGAATGTGTAATGGTCTTGCTGCACAAAGGACAGAAAGCTAAATCAAAAAGCTGTGAGCTAAATCAATTGAGACTGGAAATGAAATACCGGGGGAGGAAAAAAAGAGGAGACAGGTTGAAGGGAAGGCAGGTTAACAGAACCCAATGATATCTAATTCTGGATTGTTGCATTTTTGTATCTCTTTGCTGCCATCCAGTGGTCATACAGATTTCTACAGCCCAGGTATGATAGCCTTAAGATTCAGGAAATTCTCCTGAACAGTTCAATTCCTGTAGTGGTGCCCAGAAACAATTTTCAATGAAAAATAACTTTTGTTGTATAAAAGTACAACAGAAGAGAAATTTTTAAAAGTCAAGAATTTTAGCCAATTCTGATGCCTTTAGTGCCTCTGTATGCTGATGTCATCCAGGCTAAGTGAAAATAAAATATCCCAAAGCAAATATGGCACTTCTAAACCATGATTTTCAAGTGTCAGAGTTCCCCACCAAGTTAGGTTTTTAATTGCTGGAAGATATTTTGCCAGCCGAGTCATTTAATTAGTTGTAAAGAGATTGCTACTGGTCCCTTTACCTCATCCCTGGAGGCAGAGTCAATCTCAGCTGCCAGTGACTGGGCTTTTGTCTGCGTTGCGAAAAGGTTCTTAGCTTCATAAAGGCTGAGGCTAAGGATTTGTCCATTGAGGTCATCATTCTGGTCATGGAGTTTTTGATTCTCCTGTCGAGAGAGGAAGGAAAGAATTAAGTGATTAAGGCACCTGATTAGAGTGAGTTCTAGTCCTGCCTGAAGCACAAAGCTAGTTGGGTAATCTTGGGCCAGTTTCTCTCTGGGTCTACGACAACTCACCAAAGCCAACTTGCCATGACTAATTTGCCACGGCAAACTCACCGTGGGACAAGAGTTATGCTAATATCAAAGAAATAGTGGAATAGAAACATTAAAGAGAGGGTGCCAAGGGAGGGACAAAATGAAATGTGAATGACAAAAATTAAAATATTTCTTAAAAAATGATTTTCAATAATTAAATTGAATTGTTAAATTGTCCTGTGGCGAGTTGGACCTCGTGAGCTGGCCATGATGAATTGGCCATGGCGAGTTGTCCCATTCTGCCTTAAGAAGCAGGCAAGCACAAATCACTTCTAAAATCTTGCCAAGAAAGCTGAAGGACCCCGTCCAGGCAATCACCAAGACTGGAAGACTGACTTGAAGGCATTTGCACAGACGCGCACACAGACGCGGGATTCAACCGGTGTAATAATCGTTTCGGTGAGCGCACGCGCTTTGCTATTGCTATTTGTAATCCCAGACTATCAAAAGCTCAAGGGGAGCTGAGGAATCCTTGGGCTTCCTACTGCTTAGCTGCTTTGGAGAGAGAAGGTTCGGGTTGTTCCCTCCTCCTTCAGCCCCAGCTGTACCTCACCTGTTTTAAACGTTTAATTTCATGTTCCATTTCCACTTCTCTCGTCTTGGCGTTGAATTCACTCAAGCTGGAAGAGCTTCTTCCTCGGCCGGGACGCTCACAATCAAGCTTGTACAGCTGAAGGTGTTCCAGCTCCTTTCTCAGATCCTCAATGAGCTGCAGAAAAAGGCAGGACACAATGAGCCGTTGTGGCTAGGAGGACATCAGGATAATCTGGGGTACAAAGCCAATTCTGTCCCTCTGATTAAAATTAAGATCTAATGTAGGGACATGAGGAGTCTTAGGAGTGTTCTCAGCTTCAGTGCTCATCTTTTGTTGAGATACAGGTAGTCCTCAACTCACAACAGTTCATTTTGTGACCATTCAAAGTTACAACAGCACTTAAAAAACTGACTTGACCGCTGTTCACACTTACAACTACTGCAGCATCCCCATGGTCACATGATCAGAATTTGGATGTTTGGCGACTGGCTCATATTTATACAGTGTCCCAGGGTCAAGTGACCTTCTGTGACAAGCAAATTCAATCAGGAAGCCAGATTCCCTTAACAACTGTGTTACTAACTTAGCTGCAGTGATTCACTTAAGAACTGTGGCAAGAAAGGTCATAAAACAGGGCAAAACTCACTTAACAACTGTCTCACTTAGCAACAGAAATTGGGGATTCAATTGTGGTTGTAAGTCGAGGACTACCTGTACTAGTTATGATGGTACTAGTTATGACGGTACCTGAACCAAAATTGTAATGGTTGTTCCTATGCTGGCAACCTATTTGGGCTATTGAAATGACCTGTGTCATGCCCCTGTTGGACTCTGATTCCGAGGGGGAGGTCGAGCAGCTGACAGGGAGTGGCAGTGTGGCTCCAGAAGCTGTGGAAGAAACTGGGGAAGGGCACAGTCTGGCTGGGCCTTCAGAGGAAGACCCAGGGCCACCTCCTCTTCATCCAGATGGACTTGCATCTGGCTGGCAAACTGTACTCAATGAGTAGTCCTTAATGGGTCTAAGTCTGCATGGAGGGAAGTAAGCAGTGGGGTGCCACAAGGTTCCATCTTAGGCCCAGTACTCTTCAATATCTTCATTTTTAGACTTAGATGAGGGAATAGAAGGGGAACTTACCAACTTTGCAGATGATACTAAGCTGGCAGGAATAGCTAACACCCAAGAAGATAGGCTCAAGATCCAGAGGAATCTTGACAGACTAGAACACTGGGCCATATCTAACAAAATGAAATTCAATGTAGAGAAAAGTAAAGTCCTACACTTAGGCAAGAAAAACCAAAAGTGCACATATAGACTGGGTGAAACCAGGCTCAATAGCAGTAACTGTGAGAGGGATCTTGGAGTCTTAGTGGACAACCAGCTAAATATGAGCCAGCAGTGTGCAGCAGCAGCCAAAAAAGCTAATGCAATCCTAAATTGTATTAACAGAGGGATACAGTCAAGATCAAGGGAAGTACTAATACCACTCTATAAAGCCTTGGTGAGACCACACCTAGATTACTGCATCCAGTTTTGTTCACCACATTATAAAAAAGATGTTGAGACTCTAGAAAAAGTACAGAGAAGAGCAACCAGGATGATGAGGGGACTGGAGGCTAAAACATACAACGAACAGTTACAGGAACTGGGCTTGGCTAGTCTAGTAAAGAGAAGGACCAGGGGAGACATGAAAGCAGTCTTCCAATATTTGAGGGGCTGCCACAGAGACAAAGGGGTCAAGCTATTTCTAAAGCTCCTGTAGGCCAGACAAGGAATAGTGGATGGAAACTGAACAAGGAGAGATTTAATGACAGTGAGAACAATCAATCAATGGAACAGCTTGCCCTTGGAAGTTGTGGGAGTGCCATCACTTGAGACTTTCAATAAGAATTGGACGGCTATTTGTCAGAAATAGTGTAGGGTCTCCCGCTTGGGCGGGGGTTGGACTAGATGACTACAAGGTCCCTTCCAACTCTGATTATCTGTTATCTGTTCTCCTAGGACACGCAGGGAAGAACGGAGAAGGGAGCAATGTGAATTACATGGTTTATGGGGGAGGAAAGGGCCCTGACTCCCTTCGTTAGCTGCAGCTGAGAAAACAGGATTTAAAAAGGGCGTTTGTGCACAGCAAAGCATGAATTATTTTTGTTTGTCAAGTCTAATCTGGGTTCCTGAGTCCTCCCAACTGTGTGTGTGTCGCTATCTGTTGAAGTCTGCAATTCCTTATTCTGACCTGTCTCATTAATTGCCACAGCATGATTTGTGTTGGTTTTTATTTATAATCTATATGTACTTTGGGTTCAGACTGAATTTCTTCCCTTTAAAAAACTGTTCCTAGGAGAGTTTTTTCTCCAGCCGATGATAACCTGACATTGGGAGCCAAGTTGGAGGTACTAAAGGGACTTTACCTACTTTTGTGACTTTGTTGCTTTTGTGCGATGCCCCGGGTCATCACAATTTTGGAAAATTCAGTTAGTTCAAAACAGGGCACAGCTAGCTTGCTTACAGAGACCAGTTCAGTACTACCATGGAAGTAGCTGTCAGTCTACTTCCAGACCTTCTATAATCTATTCCTATTAACCTTTAAACCCCTAACTGACTTATTGAAGTAAATGTTCTGACTTTAAGTCATTTAGAGATTTATAGGTTAACATAATCCAGGTTATCTATCTGGAGCCTGGATTTTCTCCTGAGGCCTTTTTTCAGCTTCCTATGTTCAACGAGGCAAGATGAGTGGCAATCGGTGATGGAGTTTGCATTATGCAGTTTGCATAGTGGAGTTTGCTTTAAGAATCTTTACTGTACAGGTTTTACACCTTTCATGTTTTATGGCTATTTTGTTTTTATTGTATGTTCCATTTATTGCCATTGATTTTGCTGCTTCTGATTTTTATCTTATTTCTTGTATTGTTCTCTACATAAGATTTCCTCTTTTTATATTGCTTCAGGCAGCATCTACACAGACTTATTTTGTATTCCTTTTCATCTGCTCTTTTATAGAGGTTGATTTGGTGTATGTTTTAAACAATGGTACATTATTCAGAGGACATCTGCTATTGGACAGTATTAGAAATATTGCCTAATTTTTTCATTACAGGAAAAGGCATTATAAGACAAGAGAAGTAATAGTCACAAAAATCAAGGCTGGAAAAAAAAAACACCTCAAGGACAGTATTTTACAGGTCTTTTTCTAAGCCTAAAGGCTGTCTATAGAAATGTCATAACAGAGTACATACAAAGAACAATTTCAATTTCAATCAATTTCAATTTCAGTCAATTCAAGTTTCAACTTTCCAGATTTATCACCATGAAATCCTCTGGGAATAATCACTATAGCACATCTAAAAGGTTTTTAGGAATGCATTTTTGAAAACAGTTGCTAGCCAGCCATTATTCCTAACAACCCCTGCTTCAGTGACACAAGGCAAACCACATTTTGTTTTAATTTTGAAAACACGATTTTGTTTAATCTTGGTATAAAACATCAGCATCAAGAAAGGACATGGAAGACGTACTAGTTGTGTGCCACCAAAATTGTTACCAACCTCCTGAGTGGCTTCTCTCTCCTTGTTAAATTCCAGCCGGTTCTGCCTCAATTTGTCCATCATCCTTTTGTACAAATCCATTTCATCTTTCAACCTCAGACTGGTATCTTCTAATCTGTCAGACATTCGCTGCTTCTCCTGATGAATGTGAAAAGAAGGTTACAAACTGCCAGCCATTCTAATGGGAGTTTTCAGGGAATAGGAGACTATCATTTCAGGGACTTGACGGAAGAAATTTGCATAGGCATGTAGAAAACCATCATGGTAGGTTAGAATCTTTCAGGAAAATAGGCTAATTTTTTTCAAAAAAAAATAAAAATTCTGGGTATGTTCAACGTTTGGTACTTTATGAAGAGAAACATGATTAAGCCATGCAATCGGTTGCTCAGCCCTCAGATTATCACTTCAGTTCATGGAATAAGTTAGTTTTGGATCAGCAGAACAAGACAGACAATGGTTGGCTGTTTTCTAAATGTCAACGAGACTGCTATATTGCCTTTTGTTTTTTAAACTGTATACCTCTTTCTCTTTGAAGTTGTTGCCAGCTCTGTCCAACTATAACTTTTTTACTGTTCCCCTTGTTTTTTCATGTTTTGCAATTTCATCATTCCCTCAAACTACCTGAACATACTATTTACCTTTTTCTCTATTTATTCATTCTGTGTTCATTCTTGATACTAACTCTTCTAGTTTTACCACACATTCTTCTTAAGTCATTCCCAGTGCAATCAATTCTCCATTCTGTACAAGGCGAACAGAAATGTTTTTACACATAACAGTTTTGGCTTCCTTTGACTGACCTACAGTCATCCCTTGCAAGAAAGACCATATACTAACTCTAAATGTAACTGTAAAAGTTTCCATGCTGCCAATCTGTGTGTCAGTTGCAGCCAATTCAAACAACTGACCAGACAAAAGATAACAATACTATATCTAAGGGCTGCTTCCTCAAGGTATTTCTGATAACCTATTTGTCTCCTATGATTGCTTCTACTTAGAAATCCCCTTTCCTGGTTTTCTGGTCAAACATGTTGGCTCCACTAGCATCAGTCCTGCTCAGGTAACATCATTAAAAAATAAATAAATGCAAGATTGAAAGCATTTTAAAAGCCCAGAACCCTACTAAACAACTCTGCCTCATTTTATTATTCTTGTCTTACTCCATCAATGTAGAAGGACTAAAGGCCAAGATTTTAATACTGTTTTGTATACGTTTTGCTTCCACAGCCTGATCACAGCAGTACTGCTGCAATGGAATGCTATGTCTTGACCTACAAACCAGATAATTAAAAATCAAGCAGGCTAGGCTGAGACTACAGGCTGGCTTGGAATAGGGGGATTATATTAGCAAACATGTGCAAACTCTGTTACCTCGTCCAGTTTCTCCGTTTGTGATTTGAGTCGTAGGACAGTAGTTTTGAGTTCACAGTTTTCCTCTTCCAGTTGCTGAACCCTGAAGGTTAAGGCAGAAGTTTGGTAATTGAATGTCTAAGGAAAAAAAGCTGTTTATCTGTTCTGCTAGGATACAGCTGAGTTTGATTCACCATAAGAAAAGACAATGGTAAAAGCAACCACATATCAATTCTGGAAAGTACTCAAGTTTCTTAATAACTGGTGAATTTTTGAAAACGTAATTTTCTCATATTCTAAGACGCATCAAATAATTGAAGAAATCAATCTTTTTAAGGGCGTAGTTCATACTCCATTTCCCTTGCTTGGGTATGCATTCCCAGCCATCCCCAGAAATATGAATACCCAGAAAAAATGAACATGTGATGATACACATGTAGCAAACTGAAAAACCCAATGAGAGGCTATATAGTTTAGGATTATTCAGATTGGATAATCCTTGGATATAGTTTAGGATTAATAAAATGGGCAGCATTGATAGTGAGATGAGAAACATATAAATTTAATACATAAAGAAAAATTAAGTGGGGCAGAGTTTCTACTCTTCATTCAGCCATAAATCTAAAAGCAGTCACTCTTATCTCTGCCTAATCTGGAGTAAAAAAAAAAAAATCACCCAATTGATGTTACCAATAGGGATGGCTATCATTATGTGTAGGATGCTTCTCCGTTCCCTGTAGTCATATTTATATTTAATTATTTTAATACTTTTTTAGGCTTGATTGTTTTATTGTGCACTGCACAGAATCACCCTTGTGAAGATGAGTGGCTATGTAAATTTGATAAATTATTGCTCTGAGTATCTGGAAAGGAGTGGGCTTCTTAGCCACTGCATGGGGTAAAACAGTGGTTCCCAACTTTTTTTTCGCCCCGCACCCCTAAAGAAATTTTACTCGAACCTCGCACCCCCTGGAATAAAAATGCCAACATATAGCCAATATCCTATTATTTACCTGGACTTTTCTCGCACCCCCTGGAATATCGTCTCGCACCCCCAGGGGGTGCGAGCACCCCAGGTTGGGAACCCCTGGTGTAAAAGGAGAAACCATGGCAAGTGTGCATGTCATGGAACCCCTCTTAATCTGAGATAGAGGGAGGGTGGGTGGGAATCAAGAAGCCTTCTGGCCACTTCGAGACAAAGCCAAAGGTAGTTTAAAACAGGAGTGGGCTGTTACCGTGTGTTTAGCAGCTCAATCTCCGTGCTCTTCTCCTTCTCATACTTGCTGTAGGCTTCTCTGTGCCTCTTGATCTCTTCTTCCAGGGTCTGCTGAGCTGAAGTCTCCTGGTCTTTCAGCAGTTCTTCCAACTCATGCACTCTGGTGTAATTAAGCCACATAGATTTCACTCAGTTTGGTAGCAGCATATCAGAATGACTTTAGCTATCCCACTGGATTTAGCATTTCCTACGAAGGTGATTTTCTTCTTTAGATGGCCTTCTCCAATTTCCTGCCACAGATACAGCCCCTTGCTGAGCATTCACGACACTCTGTTTACTAACATTTCTGCAAATAATAGGAGGTCCTCCCATTCCCAAGACTCTGAAACAACAGTCCAAAAACGTTTAGTTCTCTCTCTTCTGATGACATCGTTACATCACTTGAGACCTCTTGCAAAGACCTAGAAGGCCCCCAAACTCTAAATTGCCCCACTCCCTCAATGGAAAACACTGACCTGATATGATGTTTTGACACATTAAACTGCCAAATACATCTAGAAAATATCCTTCTCTTTCTTGCACGGAAAAAAATAAAAATAAAACATTGCTTCTTTTGTCCACCATAATGCACGTTCACTAGCCTTTCTCTCTTGAGAGCACCTTCTCTGTTAATCCAGAGGGCCAAAGAAAAACATTACTGAAGGAGACTTTCTCTCCAGTTTATAGGCAGTCCTTGATTTACAACAATTTGTTTAGTAACCGTTCAAAATTACAACGGCATTGAAAAAGTGACTTATGGCTGTTTTTCACACTTATGACTGTTGCAGCATCTCCACGGTCACATAATCAAAATTCAGGCACTTGGCAACTGATCCATATTTATGACCGTTGCAGGATCCTAGGGTCCTGCGATCCCCTTTTGCAACCTTCTGCAAGCAAAGCCCATGGGGAAGCCAGATTCACTTAATATCTACGTTACTAACTTAACTGCAGTGATTCACTGCGACTTAACTGTGGCATATAAAGTCTTAAAGGGGGGCAAAATTCAGTTAGCTGTCTCATTTAACATCAGACATTTTGGGCTCCACTGTAGTTGTATATCAAAGACTACCTGTATAACGTTGCCCCGTTTTCAAGCAATCGTGAGTCAAGTCAGAAACCTTTTCGTTTTCGAAAGCAGATGGGAAATAAGTTAAAACTGGAGAATTCTAATGAGAGCTCCCAGTTTCTGCAAACTGGCAAAAGGCCAGGGTGGGTAGCAGATTAAATTACCTGTGAACAAGCTGTGTATTCTCCTGCTTCAATTTGCTCTTCATGTCCCCGTTTGTTACAGTATCATTTTCCAGCTCTGTCACTTTTTTTTCTAAGTAAGTCACCTACAAAAGAAAATCGGATGTGAGCTGGTTAAGCCCCTAGGAAATTAAGGAGAGGAGAATGGTCAGAATGGGTCTCATCCATTCCTTTAGTATCAGACTATCTTTCTAGACAAACTTTGCATAATTCTTGCATTCTTCCGTCTTTGATCTAATTAAATCACTTATCGGTTTTCATACAAATTAAGCCTAGATTATACAAGTACAGACTTCCCAGAGTTCCTCACCAGATAATTTAATAATTCCTCACCAGATAATTCAATGTTTCAAATATGTGCTTGCAACTGCAACTCACAGAGTTTTTGTATTGATCTAGATCAGTGATAGCAATCCTTGGTGTGTCAAAAGTCTGGAAAATGCCTTCATTCTTTCTCTTTTGTACATCAACCAATTCCTCAGTGTTGTTTTTTTTTTCTTAAGTGGGATGCAGAACAGCTTACCTTTTCGGTGATATCATTGTCACACGAATCTATGCTGTCTCTGAATAGATCCTCCGTGCTACCATTACTACTGCTGAAGTTGCTGTTGTGAAAAAGCTGCCTGTAAAGAAAAGATTAAAGACCCTTTGGAAAACACCTGTTGCAAAAAGGATTCCAGAACATGATTTCATTGGGATTTCTGCATTTAGAAGGATAGGGTGGTCTGAATGGTCTCAACTCTGTAATTCAGGAGGAGGGGGGAAGCTTCCAGTGTTGACAAACAACTGAAAAGTGTCACTAGCATCCAGTGCAAATATTTCATATTATGTAATTCTAAAATGACTTTTTAAAATAAGGGCAGGGACGTGAACTTGCAGAGAGTGAATGGCCCAAGGTGACCCAGCTGGCTTTCATGCCTAAGGCGAGGCCTGAACTCATAGCCTCCCACTCTCTAGCCTGGTGCCTTAAGCACTAGACCAAGTTGGCTGGCCTGAGAGTAGGGTGCAAGGGCCCCCCTCACTGCATTCTGCCCACTTTGTACAGTGCTGAGATATCCTTTATTTTCACAGCGGAAGGAAAGAAAACCTTAGCAAATGCAAAATCATGATAATTGAATCACAACTGTCCTGTGTAACCATCTTAATTGCTTATCTACTCACTGAGGATTTTTTTTTCCCTCAAGAAGAAGATTCTCCTCCCCCCCCCCCCCCCCCCGCACTCTTCCCAGGCAACTTCTCATAGAACAGAGGTCATGCCCAGTCCATGGACCGGCACTGGGCCGCAGCATGCCAGCAACCTGTCTGCGCAAATAAGCAAAGCCCAATCTGCGGGATGCAGGCAGCCTGCAAAACCACACCCATCTGGTCAGCAGAAAACCCTCTCTCCTTGGAACCTGTCCCTGGTACCCCAAAAGTTGAGGGCCACTGTCATAAAACACAAAAAACTAAATTTGCTTAGCTTCTGCCATTTTAGTTCTGATATGATGAAGTACCTCGAGACAGAAAAATGTTGCCCTTTGCTACAAGTCAAAAAGTGCCCTGATACAATTGAATGTAGACATTATTCAAACCATGTGGCTCTTCCTTCCCCATGGAATTGTCTAAATGTGCTTGCAGCTGTAAATGGTTAGATTTGATAATAATCCGCCATGTCTCTTACCTGCCAAAAGCTGTACTAGAGATCTTTCTGTTGGGGCTGGAATAAAAAAAAAATAGATGCAAGAGATTTTAATTGCAATAAATGTTCCCATTCCAATAATTTTGGAATACAGCTGAGTCATTAAAAAAACATAATAAAACTACAACCTCAAACCCTTGTATTAAGACAGCAAGCCCACAGAATTTGATGGGTAGGCTCCTGAATCCGGTATGGAGGCCTGTACCACAGTTATCTGCTCACAATTAGACCCTTTTTACACCAGGCTGGGGTAAGCAGCATTTAAAAGATTGAGAGTTATCACTCAGCTTCCAGACCTTATGAAAGGACAAAGAAGGCCACTTAGTGATGCTTTAATAACACATCAGAAGTGATGTGAACAACCCCTTTTCGGTTCAGTTTTTTTTATTTTGGAGGAGTTCAAAATGGGGTGGCAATCTTGAAATCGCTTAAAACCTTTTAAAATGCCCCCAAAATGCAACACTATACTGGGAGTAGGTCCCAATTGGCATGTTGTGGGGAGCTGCACCATGTTCAGTTTCCCCCATTGTCTATTTCTGAGAACAGGTAGCTACTGGGTAACTTCAAGATGCAGTATAGATTGATTGTGCTGTATCTATATAAGAAGGGCCTTGCCTGATCAGTCCAAATGTGTATCTAATCCAGCATCCTGGGCCCTTCCAGTTTTTTCTGGAAGCTGACAAACATCACTTCACTAATATCCTGCCGCTCTTGCTTCCCAGATCCTCAAGCACTCAAGAGTAATTATATTTTTGCTTCTGAAAACATGTTCCCTTATAACTGATTGTCACGGATGATTTTATCCTCCATGATTTTTATTCTCTTTTAAAACTATTCTCATTGATTACCATCGTCATAACATATAGCAGTGACTTTGATAGTTAATGTGCAAAGCAACTTTTTAAAAAATTATCAAAGGAGTAAATACATTCATCATTGAAAAGCACTGAACAACGAGAGCAACTTTTATATGTTAAATCTGTTACACATAGTTCCATGGCGATTAAAAAAACTTGGATGACTGATTTCTGAAATGAAAAGTTAAAACTGCCAAAGAGATTTGGAATCTTTTTTTAATTTGGGGGGGGGGGAGGAGTGGGAGGTTTTGTATATTGAGATGTGCATTTTATCATTGTATTCTTTTATTTTCATTTTCGTTATTGTTAGCTACCAAGTTCACTGTCCTTTTGGATGGAAAGATGGGTGCAAGATAAATTCTGAGGAAGAAGGGTAGATAAAAAAATATGAAATATAAATAAATACATATATAAAAACCAACACTTGCAAGGGTTTTACTTGATGAAACTAAGAATAATGGCCGGAAGGGTGCAATTCATAGGCTGGTGGCAAAGTAACCGAAACAGAACAATTCTGAAAATAAATCTCAGTATAAAATAGAAGAAGAAAAAGAGCCAACGAGGCAGGCCCTGTTCCACTATGGGGAGTGGGGAGAAACTAATATTCTTTCTGTCAGTAAATGATCAGGGTTCATCCATAAATGGGAATCTCAAATAATCAGAATCTTCCAGGCTCAGACTGAGTTCACAGTGGTAACACAGTGGTAATGTATCTTGGGACTGAGCGTAAGATAGGTGTAAAAAAAGACAAATGGTGAAGTTATATCAATAATAACAGTCTCATCCTAAGGCACAAAATCTTACACATTTTCCCCTAAACTTGGTCAGGGACTGAACCTGGAATTTCCAGGCAAAAGAGGGGTGGGGAGAAGATACATGAATTCTATCACGCTGTCCCTTCTATTAACTATTTAAAAGGCTGTTACATGAATGATGGGGAAAAGGCCAATCACTATATATTCACATAAAGCACAGGGGGAAATACTGTCTTTAGACAGATATAGCAAAGAGTGACTCATTTTCCAGTGCCACAGTAAACACCAGCCTTTTTAGCATTGTTCCAGCATTAAGACAATACAATATAAACCGAGCTTCAGCTAAAGTCTTTGGCAGCATTTAGTGTGGGGATAAGAAGCTGAAACCTTACCTGGACGCAGGAGCTGAGTCGTGTAGCCATCAACACACATGTATGTACTGTAGACCAGGGGTCTCCAACCTTGGCAACTTTAAGACTTGTGGACTTCAACTCCCAGCTTTGCTGCCTGAGGAATTCTGTGAGTTGAAGTCCACAAGTCTTAAAGTTGCCAAGGTTGGAGACCCCCACTGTAGACTACAGATATTCAGAAACCCCAAAGCTTGAATCAAATCAGCAAGGCCAATTTTTTTTAAATAAAAGTTTTATTTAAGTTTTCACAAAACATACAAATACAAATACAAATAAAATATCTTTTTTTGAGAACAGTGTGCCCCCGGGTTATCATTTCTCCATACAGACATAAACTCAATGCATATTTATCTTATATATTTTCTCATAAAACAAATTTTCCCCTGTAATTGCTAGACTGGAGTGTAACACCTTTGTATCTTTTTTTCAAATCTTGTTTAAAAGTTTAAGGTACACCTTTACAGTTATAACATTCAATTTCTAACATCTATTTTATAACACATACCTATTTTCAATCGAATTCTGCTTGGTACATTCCCTTAAACATACACACTAAATTTTTAAAAGAAAAAAGTATATATGTATATATACCTGTGTATATATGTATAACAATAGTAAATGGAATAATTATTCTATTCAAGTACAGCTCTGCCATTAATATTAATAACAATATTTTACATTTCTATTTTTTTTAACAAACATTACCTAGTAATATCAGTTGTCTTTCACTTTCATCTATATTTCACATTTTACTTATTACTGTCTTTAAATAAAAAAAACCAAACATAGTTATTAACAGTAGTCAATAAAGTTATTATTCTTATTCAAGTTCATCTTGTCAACTGATAAAAATCTTCCGTTTCTTTTCAGGTTTTTTTTTTAAAAAAATTTTTAAATCATTGAGAGCCTTGTTATCTTTACAAACAAATATTCCACTACACATCAATATAATTTTTTTCTATCACTTTAATCATCTAACATATTTTCTAACCCTTTTCTATTTCTAATATAATACCATCCCATGCACCCTTGCAGAATCCTCTCCTTAAGTTAAATTTTAACCATTGTCTCTGTGTCTTTTAAATAGGTTTATACCTTTAATTCTTGTACGCTTTTCCTGTACCTCTATATCTTGTTTCTGTCCTTTGTAGCTTCTTTTCCTTTTCCTTTTCCCTCTCTTCTTCTCCCTTCCCTTTTTATTCCCTTTTCTATCTGATTCTCCCTTCTGTGATCCTCCTTTCTGCTTCTTCCTGATATTATGATTACTTTTCAAATTACTCTTTTTTTTGGTTGTTGCTTCAATGCTTAAGTTTTTAACTCCCTTTCACCCCTTTCCCTTTTTTACCCCGCTTAAAATTGCTTGATCATTAAAGATGGCTTCTTTGTTGTCCCGCCCTTCTTGTTCTGCCAGCATTTCTTGTTGTTTTTCATAGTTCAAGATCTCCATTTCTAAAAATTGAAATATGAAGCCAAAAGATCCTCTTCCCTCTTGTGCTTCTTCTTTTTGTTCTTTAAGTCTCATTTTTAACTCTTCAAGAAGTGATGCCATTTAAAAAAATTTTAAACAACTCCCAATTGATTTTATTTTGTTTCATTAGGATTCTCCATCCAAAGTTCCAAGAGTCATCCAATAATCCAAAACTGTTTCTTGCTTCTTTTCTCACTTTCTCTTTCCAGGGGCTTTGTTATCTTGTAACAAAGTTTCAGCCACAATGTATCTTTTGCAAGCCTTGTTAAAATTCCACTATCGATTTTTTAAGTTCCAGATGGTCTCCTCCATTTTCCAGATTCCACCCTCTTTTTTCCTTTTTCCCTCCACTGCTTTCTCTTTTTTTGAAGAAAATTTTTAAAATTATCCAAGAATCTTTATCCCTTCGACACTTTGTTTTCAGCTAGAAATAGCCTGTTAATGTCAAAGTGGATTAATATCAATTTCTTATTCAAATCTCTTCTTCTTAGCGTTCCAAGTCAATTAAAACTGTCAATGTGAGAGGAAAAAAAGCCAATTCCATTTCCTTTCCCTTTCTCTTTTGCTGCTTAAAATCTTTTTTAGGAATAGTATTAGTCTTTAAAATTCAGGTTCCAGGTACCTTAAATAGATGTTCTCCATTCAACCCGGTCAGTCAAACTTTCTCCTTTAAACTTCCTCCTGCACAATCTTGTCCGGTCAAGTTCTTCTTTGAGGTGGCCATTTCTGACCACTGCTGCAACCGCCTTTGGGAAAGGGAGTAATGGCCAGCCAAGGAGGAGAGATGCGTCTCTCCTCAACCCCTCTAGTGGCTCCCCCTTCTTCACTACCTCTATAGGGTGGCTTCAGCCCCGAATCTGGGTGGCTCAGGGTGCTCCAGCGGCGAGCACTGATCAAAACCGTGCACAATTGCTATTTTGATCCGTTGCCGAAGAAGCCCAAACCGGAAGTCCAGCAAGGGCAATTTTTGATCGGTGAGACATGCTGGCTTATTTCACAAAACTGTTGAGGCACTAGTGCTTTCCTCGATGATTAAAAAATGTATCCTTTCAAGAGAGCCCATCCTTCTAACAACAAGAAATAGATTTTGCTTACTAAATTATAAATTGAATAGCCAACTTCTACTGAGTATCTCTCAAAAGGGATTTGCAAATGCAAAAAGCATTCAGTTAAAAGGCTAAATTCACTCTACAAGTTTACTTAGAAGCAAGGACAACTAGGTTCAATAGGACTATCATGAAAGTGCATGTAGCCCTGTAACAACAAAATAATTGGTTAACTACCACCAATATAAAGGGTCTTACCCTGGCAAAGCTTGTTTCACTAAACAAAACAAACAAACAAACCAGAGATAGCTGAATATACTCATTCCCAACATTCTTTTCAGCAGATTCTTAGTGAAGCTTCATTGGGCTTACATACCTGTTGCCTTTTAGGTTTTTCAGCCTGGCTTCCAAATCATTAAGGAGGTTGATTTTCTTGCAGCACTGGGTGCAGTAGACATCTAAGAGCTCACTGTTATAGATATGCCTCATTTTCCGTGGGGTCTGACCAGCACTGTTGGTAGAAAGACAATGAGTTACTAAATTAGATCCTATAGGCATTATGAGATCAAGCTAAGTTTTGGTTGCTTTTGTTTTATTTTCACATGAAACTCTGTACTGCTCCTTATGGCCATAAATACAGTAGTTGCTTTTTAAAATCCCCTTATTCAAAGATTTACAGGCATTTCTTACTCTCAGAATGCCCCTGATATGTCTGTATATACATTCCACTTTTTTTTAAAATCCAAAGGGGAGACTTTCAACCAAAATGTCTCTCTTCAAGCATTTAGTGACTATAAATTAACACTTATTATTTATATCATTTTTTTAATGTGGACTTCAGAATTAATAGTGGTGATATTCTCAGCCATGTTCCTTTAAGGAAGATTATTCAGGTAGCCAGCCTCTGGGAACAACCCACTTCCTTCAGTACATCAATTCTCTCTCAGGAGGAAAACCAGGAAGAAACAAAATTGTGAGAATTTTCCTCCAGATGGAAGGAGGCAGAATGAATTTGACTTTCCACTATTTTTCTCAATCTCAGTTCTGCTCACAGGCACAAGTAGAGCTCTCTAGATCAGTCTTTCTCAACCAGGACAACTTTAAGATATCTTAAAGTTGTCCTGGTTGAGAAAGACTGATCTAGATCAAGCGTGTCACACTCACTGCATCATGTTGCCATCACATGATGTTTTTCCCATTTGCGGAGCTGGGGTGGACATGGCCTGTGTATGATGCATCCAAGCTACAGGCTGCCAGTTTGACACCCCTGTTCTAGATCATCAGATAAACCCCATCAGATGCCCCGCTCCCCCAGCCTCAAATAATGAGAGAGATCTGGTGTTAAGTACTTTCATCACCCGGCACCAACTGAGGGCAGCTGGAGTAAAGCGGGGGAATTAAGAGTTGCCTCTTTTGTCTTATATTGAAGGATCCGAAGTGGCTCTCCTGTTTTGACTACCCATACATTGTTACATCAATTTATTTGGTGAAGTTGGGGGAAAAAAATACTGTAGAAACTTCCAGTCCACATAAGCAATAACAATTCCCAATACTTTAACAAGACTAAAGTTTTCGTGCTGAATTATCTTGCTCTTCAGACTTTCCATTAGTCTTTCAGGTCTGATATTAAAAATCACACATACGAAAGTATTTTCCAGGTCAACCTGCAACATTATTATTATTATTATTATTATTATTATTATTATTATTATTATTATTGTTATTGTTATTTGTTATTTGTTATTTGTTATTTGTTATTTGTTATTTGTTATTTATTGTTATTAAATAAGATGGCATGTTGCATTTCCAATTCACTGTCTTGGGGTTTGAACAAGATAATTGCAAGTTTTCTGCCAAAAGAGGACAGAGGCAAAAGGTGGAATTAGTATTGATGAACACCAAAGCAACTAATTGAGTCGTGGTTATCTTCCTAAGTCCTTTCTCCACCTCCAACATAAAGTGAGGCATGGCATGTATTAAAGTAGCCAACCTGGAAGAAACGGATGAGCCAAGGTCAGAATATGCATGTGTCCTGCTTTCATCATCAAGACAAGGACTGCTGGGGGTGAAGTCTACATCATCTCCTTCTCCATAATCTTCAAACTGTTCTTCATTACTGATCAGAGAGGCAGTGGAATAGGTGGAAAGATCAGAAGATGCAGGATTCAGCAGACTTGATCTTGGAGAAAAAGACAGGACACATCATGACACAATCCCAACAATAAGCTTTCTACCTTCAAAACACAAAATGCTTCCAAAACTCGGAGGACGTCACTTTGAGAAGATGGGCTAAAACTGGCAGAGAAATGTTAAAACAGCCAGCTAAAAGACCAGACAATTCAGTTCTTGAATTCAAAAAGAAGGAGACGTGTAGTTAAAACTCATTCCTTGTCTAATGCAGAGTGACATTGCTACAAACAATTTTTATACCATAAATATATAGTCTCCTCTCATTATCTTTATAGATACATCCATGTAATTTTCTTGGCAATAATACAGAAGTAGTTTGCCATTCACTGAATGTTTAAACTCACTTGAGAAGGCTGTATAATTACAAATACACATTCCTAATATATACCACATTGTGATTCACATACACATAATTATGAGTTCCTAGAACTTGCTGAAATTTATTCTTCCCTTCCAATCTCTCCTTCTTCCCACAAGTGCTTCACATTTTCCTTAGCAATTGTCTCCACCTTCATGGGGAAGCTCACATCATTCTTATAAAATGAGTTCGAGACTGGGGTAGGCAGCCTTTGGCGTGTGTGGGATTCACTGGCCCACAATGAACAGTTCAGCAAATGCACAAATGCCAGGCTATAAATATACTGATTAAACATACATAACATCTCATGCACACAAAGATGCCCCAGCAATTTTTCCTGTCAGAGGAAGAAGATAGACTCTAAATATGTAATCCCCTTTAGACAGACCAATTCAGCTTTTGACCCTAACATACTTAATTGCATCCAGCTATCAAATACTGTTCGGTTCTTTTAAAACAGAAGTATCAAACTGGATTTCTTCAAGGGCTGAAAGCCCTTTCTTCAGCATTGTAGTTCTCTTCTGCGGGCCGGCTTGTGGGGAGGGGGAGACGGGACAGAAGCCTCCTGCAGCACCCTGCTGGTCAAATGGGGTTCGGAGAGGTGCATGAGGCCCCTCCAATGCCCCATTTTCAGCCTGGACAGCCTCCTGCAACACCCTGCTGGCCAAAAGGGGGCATGTGGGGGCCTCATGTGGCCCCCCTGCACCCCATTGTGGCCAGCAGAGGCACTGCATTTTTTGGCTGCCAGAGGCACTGCATTCTGCTATTTACAGGCTGGCTCCACTGACCATATTTAAGCACCCCGCAAGCCGAATCCGGCCCACGGGCCTTGAATTTGACACTCCTATTTTAAATGATAGAGAAATGCAAAGAAAGATTTATACAACACATATTTACATGAGGTAGAAGACTTCGCAGTTTGCATGTTGAACTAGGTCTTGAAAGAGCTAGATTCATATTCTTATTTAGATGTGACACGTATGGAGTGACTTTAGGCTAATTAACTGAGTTCAGGAATGTTGTGAAGCTGGAAGAAAATTACCTATGATGCCCTGGCCAACTTGATGAAAAGGTAACTTAGAAATGAGGTACAAGTAGAAGGCAGGTCTGAGGAGAATTCAAAATCTGACCTGGGAAACTATGCCCCCAAGACAGGTCAGGAATAAATTTAATTCTGGAATAGGCTAGGATTGATAGATCCTTTATAAAGGATCAGACTTCAAGATCACAATTAACTTGTCTTAAGAAAACATAGCAGTTTGTAGTACTATATATGAAATTAATGATAATATAAGTACACTATTATATTAAAAACTATATACCATAAACAAATATATAAAATAAGCCATGTGGTGAAGACAAAAGAGAAAGAAAAAAGGTAAAAACCTTATAATAAACTTCCTTGAGAAAAAAAAAATCTAGAAAATAGGAAAATGAAAAAGAATTATAAGCAACTAAGCAAATTAAAAGTTCTCTAAAAATCCCTACAATGTAGCTAATGTTTGTGTGTATGTTTGTCTATCTTCATTTAATGAATATATCTATTTATGTCTATCAGACTATTAAATTAAATATGTTCCTTTGTTTTTTCTCCAACATTTTTATTCTATTTTAAACAGACTCAATACATTTTGAATTGTATGGTCTGGTTTCTCCTTTCAAGATAAAGCCAAATGCTGAAAATTGACACATTTCATTAAGGCAGCTTTCGGAGCACAGGACGCAAGCATCCTTCCATTTAGTACATAATCACTTTTGGGGCAACAGTCCAAAGCTGCATATATTTTAATGTTCTTCATAGATGGAAAAATTCCAGATTTGGAGAATGGAACAAAACATTGATATATTTAACCTTTAACTGCTTTTAAAAATTAGTGCACTATAAACAAAAATGTCCAACCAAGAAAGAACGTCAAGCAGATCTTTCTCATTGTCTACCTCCTTATGTTATTTTAGACATAAATCATTTCCAAACCAGAAAAAGAGGTTTAGTGATGGCAGCAGAGCAAAAACAAACAGTACCTACAACAAGGAAGGGTACACAACAGAAACTCTCTAGGTGGAGGTTGTCCAGGCTAGTTGAGTAGCAATCTAGGAGCTGCCACTTTGGAAGCATTTTAACCAGGGATGAGAAATAAAGAGTGATGGGAAACTGTCTCCTTCAACTTTGATCTGATACAGTTCAGTTCAAAGCTTTCCAAATTGCTTCAACAAGATGAACTGGGTGGCCTTTCTGAGTCAGTGAACCAAATCAGGTCACCTCCACAGCTTTGTCAAAGCAGATTTCAGTTGCTTTGCACTGGCTTATGGTGCATATCACTACAGCTCTGGGATACTCACACAAAGAGTCTTTTGATATCATGCCAACACAACTAGGAGTGTTAGGCAACTATATTAGTAACATTATTTTGTACATACTGGTGTACAGGTACCAGTGGAAGAACATGTTATACTGTACAGATGTATATTTGTATAAGAACTATTGGTTACCTCAATTCCTGGACCCATTATTTGCTGTCCTAGAACTAGTTTGGTCTAGTAGTTAAGAGTGGTGCAGAGAAGAAAGAATTCCTAGAATATTTAACATGCCAGGCTAGAAAGCAGTAGTTCTAGTTCTACCTTAGGCATGAAAGCCAGATGAGTGAACTTTGGGCCAGTCACTCAATAATCTCACAGGGATGTTGTTGTGGGGAAAACAGGAGTAGGAAAGAATGTTAGGTATATTTGCCACCTTGAGTTATTGATAAAAAATACTAAAAGGGGTGATTAAAAATAAAATACCGCATCATGTTGCCATCACGTGATATTTCGTGACAATTTTCCCCTTTGCGGAGCTGCAGTGGGCGTGGCCTGTGCCTGACGCATCTGGCCTGCGGGCTGCCAGTTTGACACCCCTGCCCTAATTCTATCCCAACCAACTGCTTTTCCTCTTGCATCACCTTTATTTAGTGCTGCCTTTCTCTGCTTACAGCCAGTGTGCTGTGCAACCCTGCCCCAAACATCAGAAGAACAATTCCAGGTGAGCGCTATTCAACCTCCTATTACCATTTTTCCACCACAGAAATCAGCCAGGGTTGCTTTAGCGCTGCACCTTGTTACCTGGCATGAGAAAAGCTGGAGATTTAATAGCAAGGAGAATGTAAAGACAGAGCAAAAGAAAGAGGATGAGTAGACTGGCGTATTTTGCATTTAGCAACTGCAGGAATTGGATCAAACTGGTTAGCTAACATCCTGATTGCTCTTACTTTCCACTCGCTTCTTCCGTTCTAATATATCAAATCTAGAGCCCTAGTGATCATTAAGAATAAGTCACAGATCGTATGCTTTCACTTTTGTTCTACGAGGCCTCTATGAACATTAGGCCTTATAGCAGCTGAAAAGCCCCCAAATCACAGAGCTCACTGTACAATATCTAGTATGGGATTCTTTTTTGTATTTGATTTGTTAACTGAGAAGACTCTAGAACATGGGTATCAAACTCACCGCATCATGTTGCCGTTACGTGATATGTCATGACATTTTTCCCTTTGCAGAGCTGAGGTGGGCATGGCCTGCATGTGACATACCTGATCGCAAGCTGCCGGTTTGACACCCCTGCTCTAGAGCAATGTTTCTCAACCTTGGCAACTTTTAAAATGGATGGACTTCATTTCCTGAATTCCCAAGCTGGCAATGGGGAAATCACTGGGTTAGATTATTGTAGGATTTAAATTAGGATGAAGTGGGTGAGGGAAAGGTTGTTGAAGATTTCCATGTAAGCTGCCTTAAGCCTGAAGTCCACCACCTTAAAGTTGGCATGGCTGAAAAACACTGCTAGAGCAGGGGTGTCAAACTTGCGGCATGATGTTGTCATCACGTGACGTAACACACCTTTTTCCCCTTTGCTAAACCAATACATGGGGCATCCGGCTAGTGGCCACGAATTTGACACCCCTCCTCTAGAGGGATAGATTTTTCAAGAAATCAGTAGAACCAGCAACCATCATCGTTTTTGCCAGGGGGCACCGGATCAGGAAGACACAAGCAGGGAAGTTGTGGGTAGCTGAAGGACTGAAGGCATCTGAAAAGCAGGAAGTTATCCAATTATATTTACAGTGCTTCTGCCAATCTGCAGCCTCTATCTGTACAACTGTGTTGTGCTTCCAATTACTGGCCACTTTTAGTTTCGTCTTCCGTGTTAGTCTAGCAGAGTTTCTTCTATATTTATCTCAGTTTCTCTGTTAAATCACAGGCGGAACACTATCCACAAAATATCTGGATTAGTCCTTTGACAACTCCTACAAAGGCTTTGATTCCTTATTTAAGAACCTGAAAACAAAGGCCAAGGAGAATGATTGATCCTCTCAAGAGTAATGCAAAAAGTTAGCAAAAATTAAAGACTGGAAGTTAGTAAATTGATAACTCTCACATATCTGTCTGTCTGTCTATCAATTGTCTGTCTATTGATCTGTCTGTCTGTCTATCTACCTATCCTGCCCCCTTTATATATGTTGTAACTGAGAGATATTTTCCTCAGCTGTGCTGCCATTGGTAGACAACGATGTGGAAGCAATGCATCCATCAATACCTATTACAGGGAAGGGACCTGGCCTATAGCTGAAGGCATTTTAAAAGAATTAAAAAAAAAAAACCAATAGCTTTTCCAACAGTATTTGTACTCACTTATCTCCAGGCAGGAAGAGGCCATTCAACACACCGTCCTTCTCAACCTTGCACACAACCGATGCTTCTGAACCGTGGTTACTTTCAATGGCACTGTCCATATCAGACTCATGATGGAGTTCTTGCTGGGCCAGGGTCATGGTGTCTTCATCTGGAAAGAGATCTGATTCCCTGAAGGCACTTTCACGGTCCCCGTAGCTACTCTCGGGAGTTTCAGTGCCCTAGTAAAGGAAAATAAATGAGAAAGGGAAGAGTCAGCAAGCACGTGGGATTGCTCAAGGACTGAGTACTTAGTAATCATGACAGGGATAGAAGCTACTTTTTGCAACCCTCTGGTTTCTTACACCTTGTAAATCCAAGATTACACAAGAAGGGTCAATTCCCAAGTTCTTCAGAAAGGCAAGATTACTGTACTCCCCGATCACTTCAAGTCATATGTCAAAGAAAGAGCCTATGGGCCTGATTTTGAATCTGTTACTTGTAAAACCTGCCTGGCAGAACTGCCAATTCTCCAGTTTGCTGATCTCCATCTTTTAAAAGCTTTACAGAGCTATATTTCAGGATGAAAAGTATGCCTCTCCCCCCTCATTCAACCTCATGTAGGTCTAGCACTTTTTTCTCTTGTGCTTTTATTTTAAAGCAAGTAGGTCTGAGCAGCAAGATGGGTTCACTGAGCCTTGTATGGACTTGAGAAAACACTAACGTGTTTCAAATCTGAGGTTGATATTTCCCCCTTTTTTTAGACAGCAAGATATTTTAAAGGTTACAATAAGTCCTTCTGCCCTCAAAATCCAACAAATCTTCCCAAAACGGATCAACGGGGACTTCCCTTTTGATTTACTTTTCTATTCAGAAAGGGAGTGAAGAAAAGATATGCAGTGACAGCATTTTCCCATTCTTCATTAGTCAATTAGGTATCATCAAGTCAGGCTTTGGGTAGAAGGTTGCAAGCCTTTAAATCTTATTAATGGAAACTCCCACTGGAGTTTTACCAGGCTTATTTCTGCGTAAACTATATAGGACTGTATGGTTCAGCTCTTTTTCTCTCACTTCTGATATTGAAAGTATGCACTAAGAAATGATTCTGCCAGCCTGATATCCTCAGATATTAGGCTACGTTATTCCCAGGGTATGCCAAATCTGTACTCAGATAATTAATGGAGTTGTAAGTAAGTATAGGCAGTTCTTGTTTAGTGATCACTTTTGGGACCAATAACTCAGTTGTTAAGCGAAGCGGCCACTAAGTGAAATCGTGGCTGTCCTTACAATCTTCTACTTTGCTGGTTTGCAAAAGTCCTAAATGTGGGGATTGATTGCAACTTTTCATCACTGTCATAAATGCAAGCAATTGCTATCCAATACAGTCAGTAAACAAGGACTATCTGTAAGTACAGATGTGTGTATTTGTCTATGTGTGTCTATATAAATCTACATCGATCTAACCTTACTACCAAAAGCTTTTCATTTCAGATTTCACATGCTTCAGAATGCACTTAAGTCTAGTTAATTTCCCACACAAGTGAAACATGATACAATGAGCATCGCTTGTATTTAAGTTTCAAAACATACTGTAACAAACTGCTTGACAGCAAGTTCTTATCGGCCCATTTCCCGGGCAGACTATCAACAAAACCATTAAATGTGAGGTCACATCTAAAACATTAAAATAAGCAAAACTGGTTGAAGGAATAAACACATTTTTATTCAAGTTCAAATGTATGCCAAAGATTAGAAAAAAAATACTGTCAATCTTAGAGGTTGATAGAATTGTAAGAAAAAGTATGAAGCTTTTCGGGGTGGGGGTGGGGATTATGACAGCAAGGCAATAAAAAAGAAACACACAAGAACAGCCTTGCTGGATCATGCCAAAGGCCATCTTAGTTTTTCACAGTGGTGAAAAGTGTGCCTCCAAATACTAGTTTCAGAGGGAAAATTGGAGGAGATAAGTATGTCTACAACTCCTTTTTTTAAATGAAGATTTTAATTTTTGTAACATTTAAGGAATAAAATAACTGCATATAAGAAAAAAGAAGAAAATGAATAAGGGGTCCCCAAACTTAGCCGGTTGGCTGGAGAATTCTGGGAGTTGAAGTCCACAAGTCTTAAAAGTGCCAAGTTTGGAGACCTCTGGAATAAGGGCATAATGGAAGGAAAACAAAATATCTTAAATAAGTACAGAATTTACAATTGTCATAAAATTTAAAAATTATGTCCTTATTTCATTGATTAAATAATTAAATTGAACATATATAAAACTAGAATCCTCATCTTTACACATTGAAAAACACTACAAAACCCTGAACATTAATAATTGTATGGATGTCACCACTATTTATCATTATCTACAATAAAATCTATATCACTCAGAATTCCTCTGTGAGGGAGATGGGCAGTTCTTAAGGATGATAAAACAAATCAAGAAACATACATCTTATAAAAAAGATGAAAAATAAATACCAAAAACAATGGGTAAAAACAGTATTAGCTTCCAGATTCCCTCACATTGTACCCAATTACCTGTATTTATAAACATTAAAATCGCTTCTGATTACTATTTTATATCAAATATTTTCCCCTTTAAAAACTGTACTGCACTTATTATATCTTTTTTGTGGGGAAGTGCCTCAGAAGCATCTGGTGAAAAGCATCTTTCTCCAACCTAGAGGTACTGTCTGCCTAAATTTCTCCAGTGCTGGGTTAAGTCATCCAAGTAAGTAGCAGGGGCAATGATTCCCACATGTTAATTATTTACTCTGAGAAGGATTGTGGTTTATTTGTTTTTGTCAAATCAACATTGGATTATTCCCCTCCTGGTAATCAAGGAGGAAGAACATAATTTACTCACGAACCTTTGGTGAGAAAGTTTGATGAATAGCCCTAATTTGCTTAGAAGAAACAGAAGACAAATTTTAACAAAGATTGGGAGGTACATATGAATCAGGCTAAGACCCAAGAGAGAAAAGGGTAATTATGATTGAACCACTAGAAATGGAAGTGTCATAAAAGAGGGTAAGTAATAAGTGGATAAGTCAAGATAAGTGGACTTCAGTTCTCAGAATTCCCCAGCCAGTGTGCTAGCTAGAATTCAGGACATTGAAGTTCACATCTCTTCAAGTTGTCAAGATTGAGAAACACAGATCTAGAATTAATAATGAAATGGCCTGATTGTACCAAAACAGCAAAATTTTAGGGTTATTAAAGAAGATGGAAGAACTCCAAAATTTGCTATCCAAGAGAACGGATATTAAATCAGCAATTGCATTTAGTATCCAATAGCATAAAATTATACAATGCACATATGGGCATGTAGAATCCTAGTTTAATGCTAATGGTTCTTATCTGTAGTGATGACCAAGTTGTATTTCGGAGGGTACTGGAAACTTAACAAAATTCTGGTCAAGTGTGGGAATGCTGTAAAGATAAGAATTCTACCCTGGGAATTATTGGAAAGGAATTGTAAATAAAATTACTAATACTGTAACATTTTGTGTAAATAAATTTATTATTATATAAACATCCAACATTAAAAATCCAGTTTTCACACAATAGGTAAAGCACTAGAAAGCATTATATAAGTCTGAGTGCTATTCCTTAAAGGGCAAGTTTTCTTTTTTCCTTTCTTCATTAGGATGTGTGGACTTCAAGAATTCTCCAGGCAGCAATTAGGGAGTTCGGGGAATTGGGGGATTCTGGGAGCTGAAGTCTGCACATGTTGACACTGCCAAGTTTGAAAAAGATTGCAGTATACACTGGTCTCCCATAAGTGATATTTGTAATACTTAATACCTTGCCTCTGGTTCACTTCAAGGTGAAAAAGTCATGCAAAACGTTGGCAAATCTCTACTAAGGACACAATAATATTCGGGTAGTTCTCAAGTTATGGCTGTAATGGAGCCCGTCATTATGATCATAACTTGTGACAGTCATACAGAGTTATGGGACTAACCTGCTTTTACAGCCTTTACAGCAGTGGTCGTTAAGTGAATACAACAATTAAAAAGCTGCTCCTGTGGTCATTAAAAATTGCTGTGGTCATTAAGCAAACCAATAGCTTCTGGTTTAGCTGAAAACTGAAAGTAAATGCCAGTTTTTGACAAAACCATCATAAAACTCAAGTCATGTGACCGCAGGATGTTGCAAATGGCCATAAATGCAGCCCAATTGCCAAGCATCCAAAGCTGGTGATCAAAGTACAGTTACACAACTATACACAATACAGTCACACTACCCACATCTGCTGGAATGTCAAATCCAGATCACCAGTACCCTCCCCAAGTAGGTCTGTCGGATCAGAAGTCAAGGATTACCTATTTTCAATTCCAGATACCAGAATAGACAGAAGACAATCAAGTTCACTGTATTACTGCAAAGGAACCTGTTTTTCAGGGGTATCCCGAGATCTCTTTGCTTTCAGAGAGGAAAAATGTGGAGCAGAGGGCAAAAAATGAAAAGTGGCTTTGTGTTCCTCTTAGCAGTTTTAAACTGAGACGGACTATGAGTTTCTGGTGCCAAAGAGAGAAAAGCCAAAACAGGACTGATCTGGAATCCGGAAATAGGTCAGGGACCACAGGAATGTTTGCATTTGCCCTACCTGTTGTTTTGATGGGGGAGGGGGAGACTGTTTTAACATGCAAGTTGCCATTCAAACCAACTATTGGAGGCAAGTTTCTTTGAATAAACTATAGGAATCTCAAATCAGGAAAAAAAAATCTTACGTGACACTGGAGAAAAAAAACCTGGGCAGCTTATATTCAGGTTAAATAGGTAATTTATTATTTATAGGGTGCAGTGGCAATACGACAAAATTGTTCTAAACAAGGGAATGCAAAGTATACCTAGCCAAATGTGTGTTGTTGTTGTTGTTTTAATCGGTACATTTCTTTTTCAAGGGTCATGCAGGATCCTCAATTTAACACACTATCCCGAGCTTTGACAAATGCACAGAGATGTGTTCATTATTAAACTCTGCAGAGCCTTCTGATAATTCCTAAAAACAACTCTACACTTTGATAACATATTAACATTGTGTGGCATGCAACTACAAGTCACCATTCCAAAATTCTCCCATGCCCCATACACTTTTTTGTGTGTTTCCAGTTCTGCTAGAGACTGTTTTATAAAACCAAATTAATAGAAGTCACTTTTGGATCAAGTCATCCTCAGGATCTAATAAAGAACCTGGGTGGGTGGAGGCTTAGATAGATTTCACATAAACTCTAAG